CAGCCAATCTTTTTTTTCAGTGCGGTGGTAGGACAAAATACTATTTACTAGACTATTTACTAGACCCATTGAATAAAACGCTCGGACACGGCATAATTTATTTTCGATGTAGGTTCATCGTACTAAGGAAGATCAAAATTCGTGAAAAGTCCACTGTGTCCTCTCCTTGTAAATTTTCTTTGGAGATTCTGCTTCGGTTCATTCGCACACGGCGCAATACGGAAAAACAAAGCAACTAACTCACGACCTCGCGCGTGTAGGACGCTTGACTTATTCGCTTCGTGAATTCAAAGCGATTTGAATCGTCCTGTTCTCATCGTTACTCGCGTCACGTGAGAGCCTCAGGAGAGAGAGAGAGAGAGAGAGAGAGAGAGAGAGAGAGAGAGAGAGAGAGAGAGAGAGAGAGAGAGAGAGAGAGAAGAAAGCAGATATACGAACTGTCGCGCTAACATGCTAGTGAGCTTCCCTTTCTTCCTTTTTATTCGTTTTCTCGGCTTCTCTCCTGTTAAACTCTCGTGTCAATGAGCAAGAAGAGCCTCGCTTTCGCTCATCGTCTCATCTTTCCCCCCGGGGCGATTTCAAGCAGCAGCCAGCTGTTCGGTGCTGTTGATGCGTGCGACGTATATACGCTTTTCATCGCGCATGCTGCCGCTCGGTAAACGATAGCCGAGACGCATTTTCTCTCCTTTCGACCATTATGGCATTATCTCTTAATCCTTTGTGAAACATCGAGCATCCAACTCTCTTCCCACCTCCCTTCTCTGTAATTTGCATTTCCTCCTTTTTAAAGACTATATAAATTATAAATCAAATTAAAATGACACAAAATTCTTTCTTTATTAAAGAAAATTAATATTACTCCGATTTTCGCTTACTATTATAAATATTAGGTGTTATAGCATACATAAGTTTTAGGAGCGTTTGACAAGTAGCGTTAAAAAAATTTAGGCAAATATAAAGAGTCAATATTATACAAATGTGTTTTGCTAAGTCATCAACTTCATATGTTACATTCAACTGTATTGCCACGTAACGCCTAATTTGATTCCATCATATGAAAGATAGAAAAAATATTACGTACAATATATGTATCTGCTATATAGATGTACTCTGCAGTAAACACGCGTGTCTGAACTTAAGAAGAATAAGAAACTCAAAATAACGTCAATTTTGACGTTATATTTGCCGAATATAACATCTTCAGGACGTTTTATGTCTACATTTTTAACATATTAGGGAGTTTTTGTAATAATATGAATCTAGATACGGTGAACACTAAAGTCAAGTTATCCTTTTCTTCATTAGTTATTAAGAAGAAGATAACCCGACCTTAGCGTTCATCGTATCTGGATAAACGATACTGCAAAAACTCCTTATTATTCTCTGTGGACCTCTATATAAAGCTGTAATATCTGAAAGATGTCTGAAGAATGGCATTACAGAATGTCTAAAAGACGTCTTATGAGTCATCATAGGAAATGTCCGAAAAACAGCCATCAAAATATTTATACATGTCTTACATGATGTCTAACAGACGTGTTATAAGATTATTAAAAGACAGACATGAGACGTCTTAAAAATTTCTTAAACATGCTTTTTAGTAAAAAATTTTGGACGTCTGAAAGAATTTTAAGTTTAATTAAAGGTTTCTTTAAGATGCTTTAATGTTTACTGGGTAGGTTTCTTTCATTCCCAAGCGAATTGATCAAATGCCTTCGTTTGCGAACAGATTTTAATTTCGCGGAAATTATGCCGTCTTAATAATTGAGTTACTAGTTGCCTCGCACCTACAAATACCTTATAGAAACACGTGCAAATTTCGCGCGTGTCCTATGCATTTCCCATGCGCATTGACGCCTAAGAAACGCATAAGTATTATTCGTCTAGTCATCGTGGGAAATCCTCCTGCGCGCTACTTTGTGGATTCCATCGAATCTCATCGTCGAGTAACTCGCGAGGCTTCTTCGCGAGACGCAGAGAGGGAGAAAAAAAGAAAAAGAGAGACAAAAAGTAAGGGAAACGGTTGAACGAAATCTGGCGACGAACGTCGTTCTCGTCTCTTGATTAGCGGTTGTTTAGGAGCAGTGAAAGTTTCTCTCGCTCGCGAGAGATGCACTGCCTTTTTGGAAAGAGATAAACGCGGCTTCCTCCCGTCTTCTCGCTTCCCCCCAGCCCCTCTTTCTACCCATCTACCTGCGTTCCCTTCTCTCTTTTTCGTGGCGAGAATTGACGAGAGAATTGTGTTGTCGCGCAATACTCGTCGCGTTCTCATGCGGAAACGCACTGAGAAAGGAAATCGTCGCTACGGGGAATTAACCCCGATGAAAACCTGTCCGATGAAACCGGGACCAACCCTCCCTTTTTCCCTTTTTTCTTCAAGCTTCTGTAAAATGTCAGTTAATACTATCGTACGCAAAATACGTCGATTACTCGTGCGATCGTAAAACGACGCATATATAGACGAGTATAATCGGGATTAAAATGCTGCGTTGACACAATGCTGATTGACGTGAGATTAACCGTCCGTAAAAATGGCGTTGCGAATTTCTACGAGGAAAAAAAGAATCGCGCATACGCGATTATTTTTTTAATCCGCGTGAATTCTACTTCATTAATTCCGTTTGAAAAAAATTAACAGAATTTACTTCGTAATTCCATTTGGAAGATTGACGAATTTACCTGGATCGTTTCTTCAGAACTTTTTGAAAGAAGTGTAGCTTTTAATTTTTATACTTATAAGTATACAATTAATAATTGTTCTAGTTCTAAGAACTAGAAAATTAGAAAAAAGAGTGAAGGATAAATTTTAAACCGAGATTATAGTTAATCTATATTGATAAAATTATGTTATATACTTATTTTTGTCAATGTAGGTTAACTTTAATCTCTGCTTAAAATTTATTCTTTATATAGAACAATCAATGAGATAAAAAATAAATTAAACCAAAGTAATCTACATTGGTAGAACCGGGCATTAGGCAAATTTGAATGTGAAAATTCCATGGAATCGGATTCCAGAATCAACTCAAATTGGAAAGGTATAATAAGTTGACAAGCGTAAATAGTTTTATGTAAAAATACATAAAAAAGCTTTATTTCGCCACCGTTTTCTTGCAAAAAATAAGTATAAAAAACATCTCTCCTTCGTTCTAGTCGTCGTAAACATCATCGTCATCATCATCATCATTATCATCATCATCATCATCATCATCATCATCATCATCATCATCATCATCATCATCATCATCATCATCATCATCATCGTCGTCGTCGTCGTCGTCATTATTGTGGTAGTCGTCGTTGTGATCGATATCATCGTTCTTCTCATCATCGCCATCATCACCATTATCATCATCATCATCGTCGTCATCGTTATCGTATTCAACATCGTCATCATCATCGCCGTCTTCAACTTTGTCATCATTGTCGTCTTCTTCTCTCGGCGATCGCGCATATAATACAGCGATACGTCAATACGGCAAGTATTATCGTCGCTGATCATGTTAGAGGTATGTGAGCGGTGTGTGCGTGTGTGTTGGTGAACGGAAGGGTAGGACGGAGGGGCCGCGACGGGGGTAGCGGTGAATTGACTAGTATGGCCCGGATCCACCGGGTGCCCCGTAACTCGTGCTGGGTCCACTTGGTCCGGTGCCACCAATACCGGTACCAATTCCACCATGACCGCCGATGCCGGTGCCAATTCCACCATGACCGCCGATGCCGATGCCACCACCACCACCACCACCACCACCACCGCCACCAGTGATTTCCTTCTGCAATGTGAAGAAAAAAAGAAAAGATTAAGTAATTAGATAGATTTAGGATTTTCGCTTTTTCTCATTTCTTATGTTTCTTAAATTTCTTTCCTTTACCTGAGTCTTGTACTTGATAAAGTAGACTTCCGGTTTGCTGGGTTGAGTGGGCGTGATGGTGGGTAAGTTGATCTCGGGTGCCTCTTCGGGTTTCTTGACCAAAACGTAAATGAGCGTTTTCTGTTCGTCCTGCTGCTGCACCGGAATCACCGGAGCAGTCGGGGTTGGTGGGGTAGGTGCCTTGATGAAGATGATCTTATAGTGCTTCTGTGCTGGACCAAATGACGCGCCTACACTCGGTCTGGACACCTCGGGAGCCTCTGGAGGTGGTACGTGGACGTAGATGTGTTTTTGAATGAGCGCACCACCGCCGAATCCACCACCGCCGCCGAATCCACCACCGCCGCCGCCGGCACCACCGAATGAAATACCTCCTCCAGCGCCGACGGCGCCGGCAAGACTAATTCCACCTGCTCCACCACCTCCGCCGCCGATCGATGGAACGCCTTGGATACCGTCAGCAGCACCGACGCCACCACCGAGACCACCACCACCGCCGCCGAGACCAAAACCACCGCCGCCGAAACCAATACCACCAATACCACCAACAGCACCGCCGATCGAAGGAACGCCGTAGCTAGAGCTTGGCTGGCTATAAGAGTATCCGGCTTCCGGCCGCGCCATCGCCGTCGCGGCGAGCGCCAGGATCTGCAATTGCGATTTAATTTTACTTTCCTGGTGTGTTTAAATATTGAAATCGAGATTTCGACTTCGATATTTTTGAGCTTTGTTTTATCATTTTTCTTTCATAAATATTTTAATATGTTTAAGATAAACGTCCTCGTAACCGGATATGCACAAAATTCATTATTATTAATTTTAAATGCTCTTTTTATTATAATTTAATGATATTTAAAGATTGTGCAGTTAAATTATAATATTATATTTAAAAAAGCATTTGAGATTAATAATATAAACAAATATAAAGTTTTGTGTAAATATTCGGTCATAAATATTATATGTCCAGTCACTGGGACGTTTATCTTATTATGATTCTAAAAATTTTTTTTTAGCTCAGTTCCACTATAATATAAGATTAACTTTAATCTCGGTTCAATTTACTGTTCATTTTTTTCTAATTTTTGGAAGTAGATAAACAGTAAATTGAACCAAAATTAAAGTTAACTTACATTGGTGGAACAGGACCATAATGTCCTAAATACTTTTCGGTACTTCACTTTCTTCTTTCATTGCAATTTAATATAATTATTATGTGCTATTGTAAAATTATAATGTAGCTCGTGAATAAGTCAAGTTGAACTCGTTAAAGTTGAACTCTAAGTATTTCTTACATAGAAAAGATGTACATGTGCAAAAAAAAATGCATTATTTATTTGTATACATTAATATAAACAGTTCCCACGCGTTATTAATTGAAGAAGAATTGGGTACATTTTTCTCAAAGATAATATAAACGCTTTCATCTAATATATTTTTTGAAGTGAACAATGGTCCTCGGTACTCTTCTACTTCTTGTAATAAACGTATCTAAAGAGCAAGCAGTAAACGTTTTCAGAAGTGTTTCCGGAAGTGCACGGCGGTGGATTTACGAGCACGTGGAACGAATCCCTTTCTTACAGTCACCGGCCGCGCTTAACGTTTCACGGTGTTAGCGTTACATAAACCCGGGAGAGAATCCCGATATTTAAGTTTTTTTCTTCCTGTTTTTCTCTTTTCTGTTTTCGCGCAAACGAAACTAGAGAAGTGGCACAATCACTGAACCGGTTCTCGGGTTATAGTCACTATCACGGAGTACATTGACACCGCACACAATACTCCCTGCGCACCCTCCCCTCTCTTTTACTTTCTCCCGCGTTCTCCCGCCTCCCGCCCTCGGATGAAACCTTCGATCCCAGTTTCGATCTCGATCTTGAATCACGAATTCTCCTCGTTTCTCTCACGGTCTTATCATCCTCCGAGAAAGCTCCCGTATACGCGAGAAGAGAAACATAGAGGAGGAGCCGAATAAAAAGACAGGAGAGAAGAAGATGAAGGGATCGAGAAGAGAGTGAAGAAAGGAGGAGAGAAGGAAATGAGAAATTGGGGAAATCGTTGTAGACGGGCTACTCACCATGAATGCCCTCATGGTAGCTGCTGTTCCTTGATTTGAGGACTGATGCTCCGCGGATGTCTTGAAGCCCCCTTTTATACGGGCCAGCATGGAGGCCCCACTCGATGCCTCGACCCATCACCTATGAGATGCGACGGAGCTATTACAAATCTCTCTCCCTCTTTCTCTTTCTCTTTCTTTCTCTCAATTCTTACCTCTTCTTGCGATACAGAGCCGTACGCGTTTGTTCAAATTTGTCTCTGTACTTTCGTTAGAATTCATCTATTCAGATAGGTTGCGTCCACTCATGACATATACGTGTCACATAGCGTGGATTCAACGATGAATAAACGTGAGAAATGGACCATACGACATATTATACCACAAAGATGGCAAGAATTTATCTAATTGTTCCGACGATATACGCGATATTATAATAAGATGATGGTTACTTTACTGATAAAAAGGCGAGTCTCTCAACGAAATGATTTTTATTATTGTTACTCATTTATCCGAGATGTTCTTAGTAATTTTGGTGGCTGTACGATGTTATTGTATAAATTTAGATGAAAAATATTTTGCATATTATATGTTATATTATTCCTAATAAGAACGATGTGTATATTATGATATAAAATATCACAAAATGTGAGACTTTATTTTTTACTATATTTAAAAAATATATATTCATTGATTTTATTGTTTCAAGTGTCACATTTTATGAAATTGTTAATGATGAACTTTTTAACGATATCGCGTAGTCCTTATATTACTTATTACAAGAATTTAACAAAAAAAAAAAACACAATGTACGTTTCTCGGATACTTAAAGAAAGATTATAAATGCAGGTATTATACCACCCGCAAATTATGCTGCGGTTTGCCATACAAGTTTCAGCCCATTTCCTACAGCCAGCTGCAACTTCCTATATAAGTCGATGTCCGCCCACGAAAATACCGCTTTCTTTGATCCAAAATTTTCTCACGGCCAGATAAATTGTCAGTTAATTATTGTGAATTCAATTTGGATACGTTAACATTGACATTATTCAAATATATTATTCAGATATATTGTTTAGAAATATTGTTCAAAATAGTGTAGATTTTTTGTATCTCATGGATAAAAAGAACAGTTTTGCTGAAGTATCTAAAAATTTAGCTAGATACTACAGATTTGAAAATAAGTTTAATAAATAACTTTTCTATCGAAATTTGACTTTCAAAATAATTATGTGGGGTAATAGGATATTTGAGCTGTAGTTGCTAAAATATAAAAACTTTTTACAGCATTGTTCATCATGCTTGAATTTCCTACATGATTATTTTTTCAACAAAATTATTTTCAGATCTGTATCTAAATTTTTAAATATTTCAGCAAAATTATTCTTTCCATTCGCGCGTATAATACGTATTATACATTCGGATAAACAGATGATAAGTACACATAGTATAATGACACGCAGTAATATGACACGCGAATAATGCACTAGCATGGATTTTGGACAGGGTAGTTAAATCACGCTTAAATGCAGCCACGCGTTTCGGAAAACGTGAGTGAGAGCTGAGGACAGACTGAATCGCGAGAACCTCTACTTTGTACGACTTGAAACGAACGGATTTGTAGAACGATTATTATAACTGATATTGCACGCCAGCCTATTCAAATCCGTGAGAAAAATTAAAATTGAGTTTTATGGCTATGCGTAGACTCATTATCGTGCGTGCGTGAATCACATGCGTTTAAAAAGCGTGATTTTCGGCGCACCTCGTAGAAAGCGTAACTGGCATGTCACGAACATCTAACAACTGCTTGTTGGATCCATAAAATGTTTGACTGAACAAATTTTGTTCGATTATGTTGTATTGATGTGTTCGATTACGTTATATTGATGTGCCACTTGAGAGATTTATGCAATTCTAATTTGTATATACCGTGATATATGACGATCTCAAATCTTAATGTGACTCTAATTCTATTTCTCGTAAAAGATTTTTTTTAAATACTACTATCGACGAAAATATTAATCTTTCCTCGTAAAAAAAATTATAAAAGAATTTAAAATAATAAACGTGAATCTGCTTTTTTTATTTTATTTATTATGATCGGTTTTTATATTGAATTGACAAGAATTCATTAAGGATGTTTTATCTATACAATTTCAATTGAAAGTATCAATCAAACAATCAAACAATCAAAATAAGCTAATATCAACTAATTTTAAAAATTATTTTTAAAAATTTTGATGATATTAGCCCTAAAATCAACTGCAAAAAACAAAACAAATAATTTGACTTACAGTTTTACGCAACGAAATGATTAATATTTCTCTGCAGTTTTAGGTCAACAACTTTTAATTTATATAAGAATCAAGACTCTAACAAAAAATTAAATAGCTTTTAAACCAACAAGAAAATTGTGCTTAAATTTTATATTTAATATTCAGACGTAATAATGAAACAAATAATGGAATAAATAAAAAATATATAAAATTTTTATATTTTTTTAATAATATTTTGAGATGTGAGACCCATATATCCAAATTTCGAAAGAGACTTCTTTCTCTCTGTTGTAGAAATCTGCGTAAACGTTTATCTCATTTTTTTCAAGTGAGATGCGGACATTTTGCGATTGACTAATTGTAAGTACTTAATTCGCGGTAACCGAATGCTTTCCGTAGTGGTTGAAACAATGGAATTGGCTGCTTCCGCTATCTGGCGAGGTCGAGAAACGGGCAGGAAGAGAAAATAACTTAAAAATTTCGACTGCAACTTCCTCAGAAATACCTCACGTTTATGCATACTACATAAGAGACGAGAAAGGGAAAAGAAAAAAAAGGAACGAGACACAAAGAGGGGGGGGGG